AAAATATAACAAAATATCACTAAAATCTACTGATTAATTTTCTATTAAAAATAGAATAATAAAATAATAAAATATGACTCATTTCCTCCCAAAATCCCTTTAAATCATCCTAAATATAGATAAATAAATAATATATGATAAAAATATGATCTATTCCTTCTGAAATCGCCCAAAAAACGTAAAAATAATAAATATAAAATGTAAAAAATAGAAAAATCAACCCAAAACCACCTGAATAAAGATAATTAATAAAGAGAAAACTTAACCTAGACTGGAAGGTTCAAGTTACTTATCTTAGACCCCCAGGGTTCAGACTGTTTAATCTAGACCTGTAATTTAATTTAGAAATTCTATATTAATACATGATCTGCATATATTTATATTTACATCATAATAATTTTTTTTACCTTTATTCGTATCTTCATATTGCAATAAAAATTTCAGGTTAAAGTTTTTTCATACTGTTTATATAGTAAATTTTTTTGTATTACAAAAACTATGTCTGAAGTTCAGACTTCTATTCAAATTTATCAATCTCAAGTTAATGATATATTCAAGAGTTATGATGAGTTTGTTAATAAAATCAAAGATTATTCACATAAACTTGGTTTTATTATTAGACTTAGAAAAGTTAAATATTTAAATATTATCAAAAATTAAAATTCTAAAAAAATTTCTAAAGAAAAAGAAAAAATTATTACAGAAAAAAAATTTGAAAAAAGAATATTATTATGTTCTCGAGCTGGTTATTCTAGATTAAAAGAATATGACTCAGAAGATGAAAATTTAATTAACAAAGAACAAAATTGAAAATCTTAACGATGTAGTTGTTCTTTTTATATTTGTGCTTCTTTTAATAATTCTAATGGTTTATGGTATATAATTAATATGAATCTTATTCATAATCATCAAATGGTTAATGAAAATCATCGATTTTTTATGTCTAATAAATAGAGTATTCCTGATGATGTTAAACAACGAATAGAATTATTACGTCATGCTGGTGTAGATGTTCCCACTATACGTACAATTTTAAAAAGAGTTTGGTAATTGTGTTACATGGGTATATAATAATATTTATAATTTTATTTATCAATTAGAAGGTTCTGGTTTAGAAAAAAAAAATTTTGATGTTAAAGAATTTATAAAAATATTAGAACAACTTAAATATGATAATGCAGAATTCTTTTATTATACTGATATTAATAATATAACAAAAAGATTGAAACGAGTAATATGGATGTTTTCTGAATAACGAATGAATTATAATAGATTTAATGATATTGTAGTATTTGATAATACTTATAAAACCAATCGTTTTCAAATACCATTTGGAATTTTTACTGAAGTAAATAATTATGGACATAGCGTGTATTTTGCTGATGCATTAATGATTGATGAAACAGAAGATAATTTTATATAGATATTTAGTAAATTTTTTGAAATAGTCAATCAATATACATCATTGGTTATTCTTATTGATGATGATCGTGCAATGGCAAATGCTTACACAAAATTTTACAACCATTTGACATAAAACATCGTTTATATCAATGGCATTTAATGAAAAATGTAATGAAAAATTTATGTGCAAAGCTTAGTACAAATTGGTTAACATTCATTAAAGAACTTTATAAATGTCTTAGAGAAATGAATATTTCAAGTTTACTTTCTCAATGGGATTCACTTAAAACATGTTATCCAGCTGCATCAACTTATTTATCACGAATGGAAAAGATAAAAGAAAAATGGGCTGCATGTTATAATCATAATGTTTTTATGGCAGATATGACTACAACTCAACGTAAAGAATCTATGAATAATATGATGAAAGGCTATTTAGATGCAAGTACATCACTTGTGACATTTATTACGGCATTTCAATCAGCTTTAAATACACAAAATGAAAAAACTGAATTTTGTATATACTAACAAAATAATTACAATATTATATACAAAACTACAAGTCCATTTGAACGTCAAATAGCATCTATTTTAACTACTTTTTCTTTAAAAAAAACTCAAGAATAATTGATATAATCATTTATGTATAAATGTAAAGAAATTTCAAGGTAATATATTTTAATAGAATTTTATAATTTTAATTATATATTTTATTAAAGATTATTTTTTTTTAAATATAAATAGCCAAACAAATAATTTTGAAATAATTTTTCAAGTTAAAAGATATGAAAAAGAAACAAATGGACGAATAGTGAAATATGATTCTAATTCTAATCATTTCACATATACACTCAATTTTCAGATTTTATATGTCGGCATATTTTAAGAGTTGCAATACAACTAAATTTGAACGAACTTCCAATTAGCCTTTTTTATGAAAGATGGAGAAAAAATCCAAGTGAAAAGGAACTTATTAATAATTATATTAGATTATATTCAAATACAATTACAACTTTTCAAATACATCAATGACTTTACAAGAATCAACAACAACTTTATCTAATGATAATCAAGATTATCAATATATGATTACTCGATTATTACAAAAAATACAACGATTTGTAATGCAAAATCCTATATCAGCTATAACTTTTTATACTTCTTTTAATGAAGTATTTGTTTCTGAAATTGAAAAAGAAATACAAACACAATCCAATAATTCAAATATTATACTAACAGTAAAAAATCCATTAATCATTTGTGGAAAAGGACAACCATCTAATAAAAGAATCACTGGTGTAGGAGAATCAGCTAGAAAAACTAAAAAAAAGAAGAAAATTAATATATTAGAATCTATAATTGATTTAGATAATTATGAATCTATTTATATAGTGCAAAATACAGTAACATAACCATTAAATGAAATTCAAAATTTATCTTCTTTACCTATTACTCAATCTCCACAGTTTTTTGAATTTAATGTTTTTTCTAATGAATCAAACCTAGGTAAGTGTATTTATATTTATATTTAATAAAAAATATTTTATTCTAATATATTATTTTATTAATAATTATTTAGAAATATATCAAAATAACAATAATTGTTTATATTGTAACGAAACATTATCAAATCTATTGCCATTAAAAGTATCGGAATATTTAAATAATATTTCAATAGGAAAAAGTATGTATTATATTAAATTTTATATAAATGCCTTTTAATAATTTAATATAGTCTAATTTTAAACTTATATTACAGTATCTGCCAATACTATAATTGAATAATATGAGTTTTATTGAGTTCATAAAGGAGAAGAAATAATTATTCCTTATAGAAATAGAAAAGGATTTCCATTATATATAAATTTTGCAAATTTATCTAATCAGATTACAAATTTAAAATCAGAATTACTAAAAATTATAAAAGGACAAAAATATAGTGAATATCATGTAAATGCAATTAAAAGAATTTAAGAAATAGGATTATCAAAAGTCAACAATCCATTAATTCAAATTAATTATTTTGAATCTTTACAAGTAAGTATAAATCAGAAATATATTTTTATTTAAAAATATGAAATAATTTAATCAATTATATTTTTTTTAGCCTGGATATTATGGACCTAAGGGCTTAGCGATTATCTTAAAAATTTTAACTAAATTATTATTCGAACTGGAATACTAACTGTAGATCTTTGTATTCCGCAATCTTTATCCCAATACTTATCTCAAGTTTTGGTTCCTGAAACTGTTATTAGACTTATTGCAAAGGATTATAAAGGCATTTCTTTAAATAATGCAAAAGAAATAATGATTGATAGTATTGATTTTGGTTTATATATTCATGATGATAATTGTGAAAATTAAAATTAAAAAATTTTGAAGATTTTTATATTTACTTAACTAATTATTTAAAAAATGTAAAATATTTGTTTTAATATTATTGCTACTGGATTACAAGTTATTGTATAAAAAAAAAATATAATAATAATAATTTTAAGATGATTCGTAGTTTATTATTTAATTAAAAAAAATATACATTTATTAAGTATAAAAAAAATAAAATATAATGCATATATACAATAAATTCTCTATAATGTAATTTTTTGATTTTAAAAGAAACATAAAATATTTCAAAAACAAAACTATATAAAATAATGAAAGTGTTAACGTATTTTTATGTAGATAAACAAATAAATTTCCTTTAGAAAACTAATTTAAAGATTAAATTGTACATTACCTCTAAAGAATCTAATATTTTCTTTAATAGGAATTAAGTAAGAAATGCTTTAATTGCTCGTTTAAAAAGACCGCCCTTACCCACTATTAAAATATTATAACTTACCAATATATATTATCTTTAGTACTATTCATAAATGTTAAATGCAAAATCACCCTTAATCCCGCTAAAGTTTTCAATAAATATACTATATATAAGTGATAAATATGAAGTCTTGTCTTTTAATTTCATTTAAGTATCAATATTTCATCTATAGTATTATCCAGAAATTTTAAGTAAAACTATTCGTTCTTGTTTTTAATTTTATTTATTAAATTAGTTTCATTTTTTGTCTCGTTTTTAAAGAAAAAAAAAATTTCCAACCTATCTACCAATTTTGGAATTACTAAAAAAGGAGGGAGGTCTAAGTTAATTTGCCTAGACCCTGGGGGTCTATAATTTTCACCCTGAACTAGAGGTCTAGGATAAGGACACTCTTTATTTACACCTAAAGTTATGTCGATCCTGATCATCATTTCAGATACCCCTTGATATACACTTATTGTAAGCAAAAAATAAAAAGGAAAACAAATGAGAAAATATTTAAGAGAAGTGACGAAAAAAATATTTTAACAAAAAAACACCACTGTTTGAATTAACAATGAAATATTTTTTGATTAAAGGTATAGGAAATAAAAAGAGAAAGGTTTTTAAAAAGTGGAGTTTGTTTTTATTTGTAGGCTAAGCCATGATCACCCTTGAACAAACATGTTTTTTACATAAAAATTCTTGAACAAAATCTAATAAGAAAGAATTCATTACATCCACCCATAAAAGCCTAAATATTATTTCTAACAAATAAATATAGATTATTTAAATGTAATACAGGTCAAATTTTTATATGTTGGTCAGAATTACAAATTTATATCATGTGAATTTTTTATGAAAACATTCAAAATAATTTAGCCAGAATTATTAAAATGATAAATCATTTGGATCACTTGCTATCACTATGTAAACGTGATTTTATTGGTTAAATTATTGCTAGCCTGAATTATCATTATTAATTATAAGTATAAAAAAATTGATTTTAATCAATTAGAGTATCTCTTACTTAAATTTATTATGAATTTGATATATAGATATTTTGTAATAGAAAGGAATTTTTTTATTTAAACATATAATAGTATTCTTATTTTCTTATTATAAATTAAACTTTTATTAAAAAATTGTCATTTTCTTTATAGATAATTCTTCTAATTTTTCTACAAATTCTTATGCTTTTAAATTAAATTTAAAACCTGCTTTATAAATAATGTATTATTTTGAAAATTAAAAATAAAAGCAAAAAAAAAATCATTTTTATATTTTATGATTATAACAATAAATCTGTTAAAATCATCAAATTTTATTAAAGATTCACAAAGTTGTTATCTAAACTGTTAAAATTTTTTTAAGATCATTGAAACTTATTAAACTTTTAAGACCTATTAAATTTATTAAACTGTCAAAATAATTTCTAAAAAATTTTAATTTAATAAAATGGGTTTAAAGTTTTATTTCATAATTATATATAATAGTATTTACTATAGTTTAACAAATATTATCAGAATTTATATTGTATTTCTTCTTATATTTATAATTAAATCTTTTAATTTAAAAATAAAAATATTTAATATATTGATCTAAAGTCAAGAATCTAATAAAGAAACTAAAAAACTATTTTTTTTAGCATTTTTTAATATTATTTTAAAAATACAGTATATTAATGATAATTTTAATTTATTCAAATAAATCAATTATAATTATTAGAGTTATTATTTTTACATCAAGTTAAAAATACTTATATTCTATAATTTTTTCTCTATTCTATTCTTATTATGTTATAATCTTGTAATTAGATGAATGATTTTATGTATTAAAATTTCTGATCCTTTATTAAAATCTTATTTTTTTCTTGATCTAAGGGATTTAATAAGTAAAAAAAATATTAAAATAATAGTTTTCATTTTACTTGTAAATAAAGCAAATAGATTAACTTAAAAAACATATTATTAATAATATTATATACTTAGAATCAGAGAATTTTTAATAATTTTAAGAAAAGTTAATTTAAAATTTTAAAATTTAATATTTTATTAACTATAATTAATTCTTTTTAAATATACCTTTTTAAATATATATTTTTACTATAATTTTAAGAAGAATACATTTAAAAAAAGTTAGTTGAAATAATCTAAATATTACTTTTATTTATTTAATATTAAAGCTATTTTTTAAAATAATTACTATATTTTTTACTAAACTGATCTTAAAAAAATGTAATGTATTTGTTAAATATTGAATTGGGAAGAATACGCAACTCTTTCCTATCGATCACTTTTCGAAAAAAGTCTAAGAAAATAAAAACGTCCACCTTCAACGTCCTATATATCTTTTGACTCTGTTAGTTAGTCTTATAGTTCTACAACAACTCAAATACACTTTTACAATCAGGGAAGAGTTTATTTTAGAAATTACTTTTATTCACTATGGTCAGAAAAAACCAAAACAAACAAACGTCAATGAAAAATAAGCATCGTTTCAATCTAACAGAACACTAACAAACTCCTAAGACACCAGTTGCTTCAACCTCTGGCTCTAGAGAACAACTAGACCTGTCTTCAGCTTCAGACGCTACTCTTATCGAAAACTTTTTCAAACCACTGACTTCTATTCCCTCTAACGTCTTGAATAAGGATGAATACCTTCCTATAGAAGACGATCCTAATATGGAAATGGATCAAAACAAAGATTTCACAGTTATTACTCGTTCAACTCCATTTGCTTGTGCAGCAACCATTCCCAAAAGCCCCAAGGACCTCCCCACTGCTACTATTTCAAAGATTGTTAATGCTTATTTCGCTCTTGATGACGCGTTCAGAGGGATTAACGTCTGCTATATTAACCTTGTTCGGTCGATCGTAATCTACTTCAATGATCAGCAATCTATAGAATCAGCCCTTAATACGAAATTTCCTGATTTGGATATCAACCAGCTGGTTCAATATGCGACTTACAAAGAAAATATGTAATTCCCTCAACGCACACTTCATATCGAAATGACTCAACCTACACAAATTAATCATCAAACATGTTTATGACAGCATCAGAGCAGATTTTAGGACTGTCATCCTAGGGGACTTCAACGTGAATCTCGATACCTACTGGTCACAAGTTAACAATGGCAAAGCACTACACTGGCAAATGGACTTTTACAAATGGCTCTTCACATTAAACTTCCTAGATCTTTATGACGTTTGTCATGATACACCTTAACCCACATACTACTCAGGCTCATGAAGTTCAAGAATTGATACCATTTTTGTCTCACCCAACTTCACTTCAAAATTCCTTTATTCATACTTAGATTAGCTAGTCCTTTACACGTCCAACCATAAGATCGTTTTCGCAATATTCGCTGATTGTCATAAGCAATCAAGTGCTCGAGGTCGTACCTTACAAAATAAATGACAAGTTTCCAATTTAAGAGCTATGAACCCGTTCAAATGGAATGAATTTGCTGCGCATACTGACTTTCATTATAGATGTCATAACCTGGATTGTCTCTCAAACCTCCCCACTAACAGATGCAATATGAACTCCTTATAGATAGACATTAAAGCTGCCATCCTAGCCACCAACAGATGCGTCATACCTTAAGTTTGGATTTCCCCACAACAAAGAGATAAAAGACCTTTTGAACAGCCCCTCTTTCATTGCAACTAGGAAAGTTGGATCATTCCTGCTCCATTTTAAAGATTCACTTTTACGAACAAACCGTTGGCCTGAACCCCTGAATGGTCTCATATCAAGAATAATATGGAAAAGCTGATCGCAGAATTGAAACTTCCTACGTATTCTTTTCCTCCCTCCCTGCAAACCGATAATATCAATGATGTTAAATCAAAAATTAAGGATCTCCACAAATCTTTAACAGCATTAGCTAAAATCGATATACAAAAAATAAAAGAATCGGCTATCAAGTCCTTTATAGACAAGCGATGTAACAACCTGCAAGATGACCCCTCCAAAATGATTTCCTCTATCTTGAATCGAAAGAAATGAACCATAGTGCTCGATCGACTGCTTATCACGGACAAGGACTCAGGTGATAAACGTTTCACCATTGAACCAGAAGAAATCAAGAGAACCACAATTGATCATTTCCAAAACTTCGTTGTCCCCTTAATCCCTGAGTACCCTATGCCTCTCAGATGGTCTGAGAAATATAAACCTAAAAACTACGTTAATGATCAACACTATTCCAATCTTATGTAACTTCCCACATATGATGAATGGCTTGCTGTCCTTAGAACACTTCCTAATAATAAAGCAACTGGTCCCTCTGGCATCACCAATGAAATGATTGCTCACCTTAGAGATAATCTTCAGTGACTTCTTTAGAAACTCATTTGCATGTGTTTTACAATAGGTAACATCCCTAACGAATAGAAAATTACCCACATATATCCCATTCCCAAACCCACAGAATGGGAATGTGACATAACCAAAACCAGACTCATTACACTACTCGAAACCACGCGCAAAGGCCTTGTTAAGATCATCACCAATAGACTCTCCCGAATATTGGCCAACCACAATATCC